ACCTCCACCCGGCCCTCCAGTTGTTCTTTGTGGAACTACTTGTGTCGATGGATGCGGACCCACTTGCCCACCACAATGCTGCAAGCACCACAAGAGAGGACAACTAAAGAGAACGTCGCACAAACACTGAGACCTAATCCATAATCTCTCAGCTGTAAATAGAATTATGATGATACTCCTTGAATGTCCAGGGAATCACATAGCTGATTTAGAAATCGTTCCAAGAATGCTATAGTTAATATATCAATTGAACTTTGATAATCTGTGATTTTTCAACGAAAATGTAATTTAAATTTAGCCTGGTTTTCGGTTAGGACTGATTTTATAACGTGATTTGAAGGAATAAATTTGCTCTGAATAATGTTTCGACACAACTTTCTTGAGAATTCCATGTTCCTTTTCTTGAACTATAGGCAAGGCTTCCCATCTTTAACTTCTGGCTCAATTTTCTAAGCTTGCATGTTTGACAACTTATAGAAAGGAAAGAGAAAGCGCATTGTGAAAAGAAAATTAACCCAATTATTATTTTCTGCCACCGAGTTAAAGCTCGGGAGCCTTGATGCTTTTTAATTTTCATTAAAGTTCACACTTTTGGGTAGAATATATCTACCGCAAGTGCGATCTCTTTATACAAATCACTGTTTGGCAAAAACAAAATATAGGAAACCTAAAGTCTGATTGTTGTCAAAAATGTAAGCTAATCTTTTTTCTTTACTTTTCTTTCATAGCTGAGCCAACTCCGACGTCTAAACTACCATATAAGGTTGTAGGTCCTTTAGGAGGCCACCCACATCCGGGTCCTCCAGCTGCATACAATCCGTGTCCGCAGCCTCGATACTGTGACCCCGCCAGGTGCAAAGATCCAATTGGATGTGCTCCATCATGCTCTGAGACCTGCTGTGCCGATGTTCTTATTCCGCCGCCTACCCCACCCGTCGGCTCTGGGGCAGGCCCATGCCCTGATACATGTGCGCCGACATATCAACCTTCGTGTTGCATGGGTGCTTCACCCCCTATGGCACCTCAGCCATTCCCTCAGCCCGTATATCCCCCTATGGGACCACAACCAGGATTTGCACCCCCAGCTGGTTATGGTCAACCTGCAGTCATGCCGCCGCCTCCACCCGGTGCATGTGGACAGGGCTGCTTAGCCACAAATTGTGCCCCACCCTGCCCCCCACAGTGCTGTCGAAGAAAGAAGTCAGTGATTCACCACCACGACCGCAAGACGAGATCTTTAACGTCGCGCTTTGCAATGTGCCACTAGTATCTCAAAAATAGATTACATAGAATTATCTTCAAGTCCTAACCAAACAGGGCAGACATCGTGGAAGACGAGGCAAGCATGTTTTAATATGCTTTTAGTAATCACTCAGAAACAAAAAGGCGTAAACACCCGTCTTTCCTAAAACATCTTCCCTGGCTAACTCTAAGATTTGGCTCAATGGAATAGCTAGAGAAGGCTATCAAAAAAATTAGAATTTAAGAAAAGAAAAGACAGACATAAAGACACTTCAGAATTACTGTGGCTTTTGTTCATATTGATTATGTCCATTTCCAGTGTAAGTTTCTTGAGTGTTGGTAAAACGAAGGAAAATTTCTTTGTTGGGGTAGTACAAGTTATTCCCTCGTCATGGCCCATATAAAGATATCTCAAGTTGTGGTATTAAAGCGCCCAATAAACATCTATTTCTTAACATTAGTGTAGATTTATTGGGTCTTCCAGACTTTCTTTAAAGTCAAGAAGATTTATTTCTTCCTCTCCCCTTTTTCGAAGAATAAAAACGAGTTCATATTTCAGAAACTTGTATTGTAGTTCCTACTATAAAAGAAAAACTTGAAATGTAGATCTTAACAATAGACTAGCACATGAGTTGCAAAGCACTTAACTTACTACGGGTAGATTGAGTAATTTAAGCGACAGTTACAGTCAAATATCATCCCTTATCCTAAACTATTATTAGGCGCGGCCTCATATGCGATTGGTGTTGTTGCAGTTGACTTGGTGGCTCAGGAATGCCTAGAGAAATTATGGATATTGAATTACCCATCGAGAAAAAGCCGGTTTTACATTTTAGACTGGATATAAAGCAAAGACTGCAAGGGTATCATCATCTGCTGTCAAGGGGATTTATAGCTTTGACTTTGAATTGAGGAAATGTACGATTTATTCAAAAATTTCGATCGTATACAACCACTCTTTAAGCTAAATATTTTCATTTATTGAAATCCTCATTTCTATCACCACTGTTCGGATATCTTACTTCATCTTCACCCAAAAAATTGAATTCTGCAGATTTTTGTCTTCGTCAGCGATGACCTTCTGAGGATTTGAAAAACTTCTTTACTAAATAGAAATGCAGCATCCCCCATGAACCTCTGCGACTCTCAGCTTATTTACCTTGGTGCAAATTAAAACTTACCCCCAAAAAGTGGCCATCTACCTCATCTTAAATCCTAGCTGTAACTACATGGTCTCTCTATGGTCAACTTCGCTTTTAGATACATTGTCTGCCGGTGTTACGAAACTTTTAAGTCTTCAGCGGGCTGGAAAAATGAGGAAATTTAAAGCAGAGATCTACTCAACCAAGAGACCATTGACACCTCTCGAGGGAGTATAACGCTCCCAAATTTTACATAAGTTAAAAAATTTTGTAAGTTTACAATTCTTGGAAACTCACAGAATTTCGCTTATCTGTTGTTAAGAAGATTTAAGTGTCGCAGGCAGGTAAAATGAAGATATCTCAAAAGTACATTCAAACTGGCCGGTACCCGCTTCACTTGCATTTACCTTACAACCGAGAGAATCGCAAAAAAGTCTCCTCGCCCCTCAAAATTTTCCAACTGTTTTGGCGTGTCTTGAATTAACGTGATCTCGGGTAGTGAAGGATAATAAAAATTATGCTGGCGATTCCCAATCAATTATATAAAGTTTTTCTTCTACAGCTTTTTCCGCTCAAATCTCGCACTCTAGGCGACACCTCGATTAATGCCTGCAACTGAATGTTAGAAATTCTTGATCAATATCTGATATAATGCAATAGGAACGTTCGAGACTGTGTCCTATATACATCGCCAAGGCACGAGCCAAGACATAGTATTTGGCAGAGGTCAATAATTTACTTATTGACTAGCAAGTTTGCTTCTTTTGAGTCAACTGTGTGTTCTCATTGGATAACAAGAACTTGCGACATAACGGGTATCTTCGAACAAATTTGGTAGTTAATTATTCATGAAGAAGACCTTTGTGGTAGAGCAATTGAAGTGTCTTTGTTTGATTTTGAAAAAAACGCTTCAACATATTTCTGACATGATTATCTAAACCTTGAAAAGATTTGTTTCTTCCATAGCCATACCAAAATCAAATTGCTTCTTTGTCGTTTTATTTAAAAGTAAAAGAGGCCAGAATGAAAAGATCTGTTCTTTATTTGCTGGTTGTGCTCTGTTGTTCAAGCTTTGCACTGAGTGCCCTTGTGGAGGACTCTGATTTTATAGACGAAAGAGGAAAAGCGCTGAAATACTTGAAGGGTGAGTAAAACTGTACTTTATCTCTTCCCTAGCACTCTTTACGCCTTGTCATTTTTAATAAGGATGAAACACGATTGCTCTGTCAGTGGTAGAAAACACAAACTTGCTCTTGTGGAGTCATTTCACCTGCAGGTCAATGAGGCAATCCGAGTAACCGCGGGGCACTATTCTCCTTCTAAACAGAAGAGCGTTCTTTCTTGTTTTGCATCGTCAAATTAGGGGAAAAAATTCAGCAAAAGCAAGAAGTCAGTAAATAAAAGCACTACTTAGAACAATGTCAAGTAATCAAAGCAAATAAGTCGTTTTATTGACGTGAACGTCTCCAACAATTACAGCCCGCCATATGATTGTGCTTCACCAATTGTTCTTAATCCGTTGTCTTCCATCTCAATTTAAAGTTATGTGGTGGACATATTTAGAACTTTGGCGCTATGAAATGTCCGCCAATCAAAATGTGTGGAAGTTGTAAGTTTAAGGTGTGAGTTGATTATCGATCATTGTCAACAATATGAAAATAAATCCTTAACGATTCCCCATGGATCGTACCACGATTAAACAAGTGTATGCCAAAACGTACCTGAGTAACCTAGAACACCAGTTAACTATCATGATGCGAAGTGTTGGATTCATAACACTTGGCTTCTGAAGACTCAGAATGCCTGTAGTGATCGCATGATTTTATTTCTACATTTAAGCAAGTTTTCGCCACCCAACATTATAAGGTAAGCACCAATTTAGCGCTTGAGTCCAGTGAGAGTTATTCAGGTTAGAGCCCTCTGCGGGTCATTGCATTATGTTCATGGGCAGATACTTTACTCCTTGCGTTAAAATCAAATAGAGGTTTTGCACAGCAGCCATGTTGGATGGCAGGAACAATAGATTATTTTTCCCATGGGAAAAAAATTCTTTCTCATGCAAAATATTTTCATTGTTCCTGCCATCCAACATGGCTGCTGTGCAAAACCTCTATAGTCATGAAACTTAGCGAATTGATAGGGGCTTCCTACAAGTATTACCATTACATTTAAGTGGATGAACAACTTTCCAGATAAATCAACGGCTAAAGTCATGCTTCACAAACAGATACGCTCTAGCACTAATATGCAACCAGATTCGCAAGATTCAATATGCTGTCGGCCAACTTTGGAAATTGACGCAAAACAAGCAAAAGTCAGATATTTTGCCATCAACTGACTCGAGCTGACTTTGCTTTGTTTGAAAGAGCAAATTATTGAGCATGAATTGAAAATGGCGATTTGAAGAGATTCTGCGCCATTTACCAACGAGGGTTCTGAAATTGACAGATTCATAAAAGCCAACTTGCTTTCTGCCTATTTTACTTTAAATCAGCTGTCTCACTAGTGATTAATTCTTCATTTTATTTCGTGCAGTGGTCCCTGGCTCAAGAAGAAACAAAGTAGAATACCATGACATAGAACAAGAGGCAGGGAAAGCTGTTCTTAAATTGCTTGACGCCAAAATAGGTACGTCTGTGTTGATACAACACCTATTTCGGCTCACCTGCTCGTATCAGAGACCAACGGCGCTTGCAACCTCTGGAGTCTGCGCTGATATGCATTTTGTTCAAAACCTAACAACTATTCACGAAACTGGAGGCGGCTAGTGGTGGATATTTACCAAACTAGCCACCGACACTGAAGGGTATATACTAAAACAGTGAGATAGTATTATAGCTCAAAAAGATGAATTTAACTCATTCATCCAGGCAACAATTTCAATATTTTCAAGCGCAAATCCAGCACGCGTTGGAGGTGAATAGCAAAGATATTCGGAGTTTGAGTAGCCAATCAGAGCGCGCCATCGACACTATCCACTGTTTTAGTATAAACAACGGAACTACTAATCATTGTAACTTTTATATCTCGCCATCTCTAGGAAAGAAGGTTAATGACGCCGCAAAAGAGGTCACAGATTTCCTAAACGACGCAGTTGGTGAGAATTAAACACGCTTTTCATTTGTTACTTGATTTCAGTCACTTTGTAAGGACACGCGCCTCACACATTCCCACGGCTATTACACGACGAGTTGACCCTTTGACCCTAAGAGAGACTAGCATGTAGTATATTCTTACGCTATCACCCCTGATTCAAATATCAAGCTCAAGAAACTCTTGACTGTTAAAAACATTTTCCTTGAAAGCACCCTAGGAAATGTATAGAGAACAGTATGGAGAATATGGACACTGATGTTAGGGTGCACAAGGTTAAGTTTTGTAAGGAAGTTAATAGGCACGTAGTCAATGAGTAAAACAAGTACTTTCGTGTTCTGTGCTAGTTAGCCTCATTCACAACTGCTTCACGCAGCAAAATCTTCATGTTATTCTTGACATATATCTTATTAACCAAGCGCGAGGGCCGTACTGGAGAATATCGGCCCGAGGTCTTGACAGTACAGACCGAGCGCAGCGAGGTCCGTACAAAAAAGACCGAGGGCCGATATTCTTCCTTTACGGTCCCGAGCAAGCTTGGTTAATAAGAGATTTATTATACGACTGAAGTTCAAAGGGACACAAGTGCGGTATCATTTGGGACCATTTGGGACAATGCCCGGTCCAATACTTAGAGAATATTGGACCGGCAATAGAGCATTTTGATTGGTTGATTTTAGTTATTGGCCCTCTGACTGCCCGAGTCGTGTAATAAAAGGTATTAACATGCACAGTAGCATCTGTTTCTTAACACGCAAGCGTATTTAATGTCGTGCGTGTGGCAAAACCCATTTCTCGCGAGAATTAAAATTTTAAAAAATGTCAGTCGAATCTTACCTTGAACTTCAGTCAAATAAGACATAACTCCGTCATAAGTTATCTGACACAAATAATATTTTGTGCCAAAAGGACACAAAATATTATTTGTGTCAAAACACCCTCATACGAAGCGTCGCTATCATTTTATATTTGTCCAGACTTTCGTGAGTCTACTTAGAAAACGTTTTTAAGCCAGACTCAGGAGACTCAAGAAACAACTCCTCCTTTTTTCGAAGTGAAAACCACAGGGTTCGATATAAGTTTAACTGACTGATGTATCAACGTTCTGGTCTAACACTTTACCCAAAATGGTGATCATGTCCACAGGTCATCATGCCCAACAAAGGACCAAAGATATACAATCCGACAAGCAAAAAGGTAACGAAAATATCAATATGCCTAATATCATATTAATGAAAATGAAAAACCTGCCGCAAAAATATTTACTCACAAACTTACTTCTTAAATGCTCTTCAAATTAAATTACTCACAAAATTCTTAAATTACTCACAAACTTACTTCTTCAAATGCTCTCACTAATTTCCTTGCCTCGCAAGTTGAAGATTGATGGTTTGACTGTCGGCATTTTTCTATTTTAAAATTCATGGTTGAGGTTCTGTGGTTGGAATTATCAGTATGTTATCTCTTTACACCTTCGAAGAAAAATGTTTTAGGTGAAAATATACTGTTATCTTGTTATCAACATATTTTTTGTGCGTGTGCATCCTCATAAACAGAAATGTCGCTTCTTCACCTTGGGGCCAAGAAAGTTCTTGACAACAAAGATGAGGACAACAAGCCTAAAAAGAATAAGGATGGTTCCTTTCTTGTGCATTTTAAAGTCCCATATATTGTGACACCTGTCAATGAGAAGAAGAAAACTAAACCAAAGAAGTATCATCACAAACACGCGAAAAAGCCGCATTTGAAGAAATACCACCACCGCATTTTGCATCACGGACATCATCACCACCACCATCATCACCAGGCTCACGTAGCAGATGCAAGCAAACTTGCGCCACAAACTCCACAAGTCCCGTACAATCCACAAGGTGAGAGAGCGATGTTAGCACCGAGTGTTCAAAACAATTTTGATTATAATGGTTGCATGGTTTCACTCGTTGCATGGCAGCAATCACTGCATGCTTGCATATTAGCCAATCTTCCATGATTACATGGATGAATTAATGCAAAGTTCCTGGTTGCATTGGTGTATGGTTGCATGATTGCTTTGATTCATGTTTGCAGTTAAACGTTAAATCTTTGAAATGAGATCGTTGTAAGACTGAAAAGCACCATGTTGCAACAAAAAGGTGTCTCAGAGGTCTATGTCACTCGGTAACATCACCAAAACCTACAAATATATTTTTATTCCCTAACAGCACCTCAGACGCCACCCCAGCAACCCAACTACAATGCTATCGATTTAAGCTTTAACGGATATAACTGGACTTACCAGTATAGTAATGACACCAGCTCGGACATGGTCCCCTGTCAGGGAAACTGCATGGATCCTTGCACAACACAATGTTCCATGAGGCAAGATTGCTGCTGCTGTGATCCCAACATGATGGCTCAGACCCAGGCCCAAGCACCCGTTCCGCCTGCTGCCCCAGTGTACCCTCCTGTAAGTACCCTGAAGAAAAACAAGCACGAAGAGCTCACGCAAGCTCACTGTTTTTTTTGTTTTTGTTTTGTTTTGTTTTGGTCTTTTTGGTTTTTGGTCATATTACGGTAATCCTTGGTTTTGACTGGCTAATGCCGACGTTAAAAGGTACATCGTATTTGGCGCGTTATGACGAGTAGAGTTTTAGCTACGAAAGACAAGAGAAACATTGCAAAGTAGCTGTTAAAAAATGATAAGATAAAAAGTACTAAATCACTTTTTAGGTTCAGCCAATGGACCCTATGGCTCCACCTCCTTTCCAGCCTCCTCCTATGCCAGCGTTCCCCCAATCGCAGTGTCCCTCGGCGTGCAAAAGAAACTGTTTTACTTACTGTCCGCGTGATTGCTGCGGAGTAGCAGGAAAAAGAGACAAGGTTACAAAGAAAGGAGCATCTGACAGCTAAGGGAAAACCATCGACCAAGCGGAGAGTGAGCGGGATGACGAAGCGAGTGGTGACGAGAGAGTATCTGAAGAAGAGACCGAACGACAGCATAAGGTAGAGGATGATATCAAACGTATAGAGGAGAAAAATGATGAACAAGGAGACAGTGGAAAGGGTAAAGAACAAGCAGATAACAAAGAAACCTTAGAAGGAAGCTCGGAGAGCAAAGATGACAACGAAAATGACGATTAAGTTTCGAAAATGGTGGCCATACATAAAATGATTTTGTCAGGAGTGACTCGACTTCATGTACTTGAGAGTCGTCAAATTTTCGGAAAGGATCAGAACGAGCAATGTTTAAAACAGTTTAAACATACTTTTTTCGTTCCGTAAACTTTACATTCTTCGTTTATAACCCCAAACTTGAAACACTTCTCTAAGCGGCGTCTAAGGTTGTTCCCGTACGACAGATAATTAGACATGCACTGGCTTTTATAAAGCGTTAAGCATTTATCAATGATGATATTTCTTTCAAAGTGTATAAGAATCTCTCAAAATACCTGGACCGATAAGATATTTATATGAGAAGTACCTCAGTAAAAGAATTTATTATTTCATAACGATCCTCTACTTTCAACCATAGTTGGTTTTTAAGGTATTTGAAAAACTTAAAACCTACAGTGCGCTCAATGCCTCCAGATCAATGCATTACTGACTGTATAGATTATCCTTCAAAGGAGAAAGTTCCCATAGTAACGTGACCCTGTAATAGTCTATGAGAGAGGTGTGGATGTTGATAAAATAGCTAAAATGAAAATGAAGAATATGTTCAAATAGGGAAATATAAAAGAGGATGTGTGTTTTGATCCATTTGTATAAAGATACTTATTTGACTTAATTAAACATTAAAAAGGACATTTATTTCTCTCAGTTATTTCAGTTTTCTCGAATACTTTTCTAGGCAGCATCAAAAACTTGGAAAGAGGACTTTCAAAGTAATCACAAAGAATAACGTTACTTCTCTATCGTGTCACAAAATTGTGTTTTAGCTGGAACCTTACAAGTTTTACTGAATGCTGTACGCACAGGTTTGTTGAGATTTATAAATATTCTCAATTTGAACGTACTTCAATGGTACGATTCTGGTTGACTTATGTTGAATAACTTTCCCTCGCAAACTGGATCAAATGTTTTGATTATGATACGCGGTAAGCTTTCACACACGTTAATGAGTCCATTTTCAACCGAGGAGGGGAGGAGAAGGCAATCGATATTTTTCATTTCTAAATTTTAGGGAAAAGGTTACATTTTAGAAAAAGACAAAATCGATGACAAAAAAATGAGCGGTTTAATCGTCGACATGAGGTCAAAAAGTGCAAAAAGAATATCACATTTCGGGTAAAACTAATGCACGAAACCTTAAACAGCAAAACATCTCCCGGTTAAAGAAAGCCGAGCTATAGCGATTCTTTTCGCGTTCGCAGAAACTGACCTAACCTACCATCTTTGTAACGAAACAGATCAATGAAAAGGAGATGATGTTCTGTTGGTCTATTTTGGCAGTTATTTACCAGTCTGACATCAGGAAATAACCATGCTGCATAGGTTGTGTTTTGAAGTTATCGACCTGTAAACTGCGCGGTTCAGTGAGCTCATAGAGCGTGCTCTTCGCGAATCATCTTCAGTCGAAACCGGTGAAAACTTTTAGTGCGTTTTTCATATCTGCAAAGGAAATCTAAACTGATATAAAAAGCTGTAAATAACAAATTTAATTTCTCACAGAAATTTTTTACTTCTAAAACGTCCCAGTGATATGCAACTGGTGGCAATTTTTTTATTTGTTTTGCTTTCGTACTCTAAACAAAATATCAAAGTTTTTTCGAGTTCATCTTCTTTCCTACACACGCTTGGTAATTCATGGTCCCTGTGATTTGGTGCACGTGGTTCTTGTGTGAAAGCCTATGACCCCAGTCTACACCACAAGCAAAGTTTCTTTAACTTGTTACCCAAAGCCGTTAGCCGTGCAACTTTGACTCTGTTTACTTGCTTGGTTAACTTATCTCCTAATTTATTAATACTACTCAAAGACGACGAGTCTCCGTACGCGCATCAGTCTCGATAAGCTACCAAGTTTTTTCAAAGCGCGTTGAAGTCCAACGAGGGCCAATTTGGCCATGATTGTATAGTTTTTGACAATTTTTGTATCATCTATCAAATACCGTTCCGTGGAGGATCATCTAGTCTAATATTATGAAGTCACACAGTTGTTTTGCTGTTCCACTTCTTCTGTGTCATTTTATATGGATATGTGTCAGCAAAGAAACAACGCAAAGGCCCGAGAAGCGATTTGACATCAGAGGTAAGCTTCAGCGGCTATCCAATACTACCTTGCTAATAGCATCACTCTAGTTAACCTTATAGCGAAACTCAAACGTACGCTCTCAACTACAGTCATCCTTTGAAAGCAAGTTATAAATATTCATATAATGCAATCCATTTTACTACATATGATTACTCAGATCTCGCCGGTTGCTGTTAAGGAGTACCTTTGTGTCTCATATACGTCTACTGAATTTATCGAGAAATCTTCCAACGTGAATGAAGATAGTTTACGCTAAAGATCAAATGTCTTGTTTACTCTCTGCGACAAAACATTTCAGTAATTCAACCGGTATTGACAGGTATTCCGTAAGTCATCTAAGTGATTGACTCCCAAAATCTTGGTCCCCTGTATCTGCAAGCTTACAATTTATAAACATCTGGCTATTTCTCGTCCTTTGAACTGCTTCAGTCACCTAATTTAATGTTGGTTGCAGATATAAATCTTCTATCACGTCGAAAATGTTTACCTTGAGCCCGGAATTAATTTCTCTTGGGTGGTAAATCATCCGAATTATTTGTCATTCTGTTTAAACAAGGCTATTTTGTATTCTATGAAGCTGTGAAGTGAATGGTTTTCCTTCTCAATTTATGAGAATTTTCGCCTGAAAACTTGTTCACGACAAAAGAATTGAAAGTCTCTTCATATGGAAACTAAGGAAAGACTTCATTACTTAAAGCAAAAAAACAGTCTTTATCACGATGAAATTTTCTTGCATTCCTTCTTCTCTTGCGCAAAAAAATCTGACCATTTTCATAGTCCATTCAACAACTAAAAATTCTGGAGGAACTTTGGAGTGAAGTACTCCATGCCATGTTTCCGACCAACGTGCATCTTCCCCATTCAAAGAAACACCAGCAAGAATATTGTTGTCGCACTCACGGCTGAACTGTTAGCCAACAATCACAATTCTTGACTTTCGGACACTAACATCATACTTTGATTAATGATATCTTATAAGCTTAAAAATTTAATCAGTTAGATTACCATTAACACAAATGATAAATGAATCAATCTCTCTTTGCTCCGTGATTGATTGGTGACGAATTTATCCAAACAAGAAAACAGCGGGTACTACAGAATTGCAAAAAAAAAAAAAGAACCCTGCCTCTTACACGGTCCAGGGTCTTCTACCAATTTAGCCACAACTTCTGATGTTAGAGCAAACAACCTTAACATAGAGTCACACTTAGATAGAATTTGCAGTTACAAAAGGAAATGTCACAAAATCTTAAGGATTCGACACATGGCAAACTATTCATGTACCTTAACTAAGCTTACTCAAATTTAACTCCAGTAAGGTAAATCACGTGGTAGACTGCAAAAGTGTATCATACACCGAATGCAAATATGGCGTCCAATTTGAATTGCCATTGTTCTGGACTCACTAGCCTCGTCTTCACGTGGAAATACAAAAGGATTATTACATGTGTGAGAGGCTAGTCAGTCCAGAACAATGGCAACTTAGATTGGACGCCATATTTGCATTCGGTGTATATTACTGATAATTTCTTTTCTGATTCTTTTAGGAAAGGAATGGGTCGCAGCACAAAAAATTATCAACAAACTGGTCGATGAGAGTATCGGTAAGGTCGTAACCATTGTTGTTGTCATGTGTGTCGTTGTTGTTACTTTTTGGCCTAAGAACAAACAAACTTAATTAGTGACTTAGATTTCAGTCTTACCAAGTTTGCATTAATATTTGTTTATTCATGATAAAGCGAACAGAGTTTCAGAGGCAGAGCATGATGTTGAGCGTTTATTGGAGTCCAATATTGGTAAGCGAAAACTTTGGTTTTCAACCCTTAATTCATTAGTTATTCTTATAGGCCTGTGCTAATCACCCCTTAACGACAACAGACAATATAAAGAAGTGTTCTGGTAGAAGATAATATATAGAGTAAGCTACGGCTAAAAGCATTGCACCAGTTGGTACATCATACCTAGATGTCAGTGTTCGAATTGACATAGAACATCGCGGTTCAGTGAAAACGAATCATTAAGAAAGTATTACCTCTCAGGAAAAGCTGATGCGTCTTTTTTGCCTACGAAATACTCGTTTTTGAAATTTAACGGCTCCACAAGGATGTAAAATCCTCAAAACCGAGAGAGGTATGGAGCGAAACATCAACCGCCATTTTGTTTACTTTAACATCGAATACCGCGTGCACATTAGTCAGTGGTTGACACTTGCTACATGTAAATCAGACATCAAATTAATGGCGTTTGAGAGTGACAATATTTTGCAGCTTTAGACGACTAGCAAATGCTCTAATGAATACTAATGAGTACATACCGATGGTTAAAAAGCGACTAAGATAGCGCTCGATTTCACAAAACCGCAACAGGAAAGAATCGGCTTCCGTTGGAAAAACAGTAAAACTTAAAGCGGACACCCTGCGTTAATGGACCCTTTCAAGGTTAACGCCGCCATTTTGCCGGGGGTGCAAAACTGCTGGGGCGAACGCAAAATGTACA